TTGATTGACCGGCAACCTCCATTCCCATAGATTCCGGATGAGAGGGACCAGGCAGGGGGGTCTCACGTAAGGGTAACGTGGGACCTGAGTGGTTGTCAATAATGATTGATGCGACGGGCACCGACAGGGCAGTGTGATGAGCACGGATCTCACGGTGGTGAATAGTCATTGGGACAGAGCCAGGACGGGGGCCAGGTGCGGCGAGAGATGGCTCGGGAAGAGGGTTTTTAAAAGCCGGCGTGGAACAGGGCTCTGGCTGCTGCGCTCCTACTACTGCTGCTGCTACTGATACTTCTGCTGCTACTGCTGCTGTTACTGCTGCTACTGCTGCTGCTGCTACTGCTGCTACTGCTACTACTGCTGCTGCTACTGCTGCTGCTGCTGCTACTGCTGCTACTGCTGCTGTTACTGCTGCTGCTGCTGCTGCTGCTACTGCTGCTGCTGCTACTCTGCTCTGCTGCTACTGCTGCTGCTGCTACTGCTGCTACTGCTGCTACTGCTGCTGCTACTGCTGCTGTTGTTGTGGGGGAACCAAGAAGCTGTCGTCACCGTCGTCATCTTGGAGCGGGTCGTCTTCGTCGTCCTGGAACGGGGGCACCTTGTGCTCTTGGAGAGTGACGGTGTCTCCTTCCGCTCCTGTGTAGCCAGCCAACTACACGGGAGCGTCGCGTAGAAGTTACCCAGCTGTGTCTGTAGTCAACTCGCGGTTACTCGTTAAGTTAGCGGCGAGTCGGTGGACTTGATGAATGACTAGCGGTAAGTACCCCGTTGCCCGGGCAACAGACACACACATCGACCCACACACCACAAACATCGACTTACACAGACACACATATGGACTCGCACACACACACATACGTAGACTCTCACACATACATCGACCTAAGCATACATATGGACTTACACACAATATCGACTAAGAGATACACATGGACCCACGCACACATCGACTCACACATACACACAGACATACATATGGACGTACACAGACACATATCGACGCACACACACATGGACTGTCACACACAGACACACTGCCGTACACACATCGACTGACACACAGACTCCACACAAACCCATCGACTCACACACGCACATAGAGCCACACACACATGAACTTACGCACACACACACACGCACAGACATGTACGTATACATGGCAACAACCGCCATTCGCCATTAAATTCATAATAAATGTACATCTGACTGAACAAGGTGTCTCTGGAAGCTGCTACATTACACATACTTTACAATGTAAGTGTAAAATATACTTGCACATTGCAGCACCTTTGCATTTCGCCAAGGACATCCGTAAGTGTTTGCGGTTGTGTGGTTGTGGATTCGATCTTGGCCCTGACGCCTGCTGTCTATTTGGAGTCTGCGCGTCTCTCTCTCACTCATCATCATCACGGTGGCTAGGAGATGTTAACTACCTCGCCTGGTATACAAGAGGTCGTGGGTTCGATCCCGACCCTGATGCCTGTTGTCTATATGGAGTCTGCGCGTCTCTCTCTCTCTCTCTCCCGGCGATCTCATGGACGTTTCTCCGATTCTTCCCGTTTTTCCCTCCACATTTCGAATGAATGTGCGTTTTGATTATTTGTTGACTGCTAGGAATTTCCACGCGATGATTACCCACCCTTCGTTGGCTCGCCATCGTGTGAAATTTTGAAAAAGAGCCAGAGAGCTCGGTGGACCTTACCTGGTAAAATAAAAACTAGTTTAATAGTTTTAACACTGTGAAGAGGGGAGCACCGAGAACCATCGTCATTCTCCCTCCGGCTTTAATCGCCGCCGCGGCAAACACGATCGCCGACGACGGATTGTGACGCCGAACGTCTTTGCGTTTGTCCTTCCGCGGGGACGCCAGGTGCGAGCGCAGAGCTGCGGTGCCAGGAGGACGGACTGTGGTCCCTGCCGGAGGCGTACTGCCAGCTGACGTGCCGGGCCCCGCCGCCCATGGCCAACGCCGTGGCGCGCACCGACCGCTGCAAACACGACGGACAGGAGGTCGGCTCCTCCTGCAAGTATCGCTGCGAGCCGGGACACCACGTGCCGCTCACCAGTCGCAAGTAAAGCCCGCTTCCACACCTCCCGCTACCCTCGGCACACCAGCACCCCGCCACGGTCATGGAACGCGAGCAGACGTGTGTGCTCACAAACACCGTGCCCTGGGTGCACGTCACGCGCACGTGTGGGGCGCTCAATGCCGGAATCATCGTTCCAAATGTTGGCAAATGTTAAGGATTGGCTGTGTCCCCACGTACGTGTGTAATACACCTTTCTACAAACGCATCGCGATTATTTTGCAGTCATAAATTTGCGCGGTTGTTTTCGTCACGTGACAACAATATCCTGGAGTCTACAAACTAAGTTGCACCTGTAGGGCTGTTACATTGGGGAAACGAAACGACAAGGAAGATCTGAAACACGGCAGAACCAATACCTCCGCGTGGCTGACCATCGCTATGACGCTGTGGGCTCTCCTAATATTGTTTTTTCCGAGACCAGGGTACTCTGCAAACCTTCGGGCTACTATCAAAGGTTTGTTCATGAAGCCATCCAGATATATAAACATAGACATAACATCAACCGAGAAGATGGATACAAATTGAGCGATCATTGGAATGATGTTATTAACCAGGTTAAAACCTTCACTGCTTCTTACCTATATAGCCTCTTGTCACGACAGCCCTTTTGCCCACTTCAGCGATTGTTTCTTGCTGTGCTTGTCCCACCTGATGACGGCCTTACCGAAAGAGCCAAAGAGTATGGATCCCTGCAGTCACGAAAACTTCACATCAAGATTGTTTCACTGCTGTCATTTGTGGCAAGGTCACTTCTGAAAAAGAGCGACTACAGCTCCGTGGACCTTACCTGGGGAAGAAAAAAATGTTTAATAGTTTTAGATGGCGAGCACACACACACACGTGCGCACAGCCAACACGCTCGCAAATCACCCGGCTCCTGCCGCCGCCCGCCCCTCCCCCAGGGGGTTCAAGGTGAGGTGCACGGACAGTGGCCACTGGGAGGAGGGCGGCTGCGTGCCCGTGCAGTGCCCCCCGCTGCCGCCAGTGCTGCACGGCTCCTACACGTGCACGCAGCGCTGGCAGCTCGGCTCCCGCTGCTGGGTCAACTGCAGCACCGCCAGCGCCAGCAAGGTCCCGCACACCTCGCACGAGCACAAAGATCCCCCCCCCGCCCCCACGTAGCCTCGACGGACTTGTTGTTGGGGGCACGTGCTGTCAGCACGAGGGGGTCGGTGGGCAGCAGCGCGCCCGGCCGCGTCTGTGTCTCTGGCGTGGCGATGGTGACCACACGCCGCCGCGCCACACACTCGTGGCCTGGGGGAGGCCCAGCACCGCTTCAGATAATCGTCACTGGCGTTGGCTGTGAACAGGAATCAAACTCAGGTCGCCGGGTTTGTAGCGCAGCGCGCACACGCACACACACATTTACAGTGACACACACACACAGTGACACACACACACACTGACACACACACACAACAACAACAACCGCCATTCGCCACTAAGTGGCGGTGACGTCACCACGATGCTTGTGCCAGGCCAAGTGCACCTTGAGGCCACGTGAAGTGTCGAAAGCCCGCTGGCAGGAGGTCACGGGGCAGACCCAGGTGCCACGGGTCGACTGACCGAGATGACCGAGATGACTGGCTGATGCACCACCTGTGCCCCCTACTGTGCCAACTTGCTGTGCTTTAGCCACCCGGCGCTCCGCTCGTTGTTGTGAGCGTCGCCTCCAACTGCCCAGTAGCGTCCTTCACGAGCCTCCTCCACTGAGGCCGATCTTGACACCGCTGGTACCAGTCATCGGCAAGTCCACTCAGCTCCACGTCCTCCTGTACCACATCACTCCATCTCTTCTCCAGCCCGTGCCGCGCCCGTCTAGCCCCCTCGATCCGGCCGAACAAAAGCTGTTTAGGCATGCGGTGGCTGGGCATGCGGGCTACATGACCCAGCCAACGCAGCCTTGCCTGCCGGAGGAGCTCACTGATGGGACTTTGCCCAGATCTTTCAAGGATTTGTGAGCTCCTCACACAATCCAGCCTGGTTAAACCCAGGATGGATCGTAGGCAGGCCAGCCTAAATGTTTCCAACCGGCGAAGATGCTCCACCAGGGGGGTCCACGTCTCGCAAGCGTAGAGAAGGGAGGGAATGACCGTGGCCGAGAAGACCTGAAGCTTCGTGGAGCGACAGACCAGGTAGCTTCCACACAGCGTTACGCAACCGATGAAAAGATATTGCCGCTCGACTGATTCGGAGTGAGACCTGCTGATAGACTGGAGCCGGTCATAAGCACACTGCCCAGGTATGGGAAACTCTCCACTCTCTCCACAACTGCCCCATCACCAATTGGGAGTTGTGGGGTGGAGTGTCCGATGGTACAAAATACCCAGGCAGGTGCTTAGTTTTGGTGGGGCTGATGGTAAGGCCCCACCTCTTAGTGGCACGCTCCAGTCTCAGCAGCAGCGCCTCCAACTCCTCTTCTGAATGAGCAGCTATTACCAAATCATCGGCATACATAACGTGGTTGACCAATAGGGAGCCATCCCTTGATCGCACCCGGGCGTCGATCAGCCTCCCATTATATCTGTACCAAATGGAAATTCCCCCGGTACAGCTATTGAAGGCTTCACGAACTACGCGGTCAAAATAGATGTTAAATAATGTGGGAGCCAGAGGACATCCCTGTCGCACCCCAAGGTGTACAGGGAAAGGCTCCGACTCCCGGCCACGTAGTTTTACCCGGGCCCGCTCACCATCATGAAGGTCCTTAATGATCGTGAGCAGAGGGTCAGGGACTCCGAAAGCACGAAGAACAACCCAGAGCCCAGTCCTACTGATGGTATCATAGGCTTGACCAGGTCAATAAGCAGAGATGTAGGTCTTTTTGGAATTCCCTACACCTCTGCTGTAGCAGACGGACAGAAAATATGGCATCTGTGCAGGACCGCCCTTTCCTGAAACCGCATTGGGGCTCCGCAAGCCTCTCCTCAGCGTGCCTAGCAAGGCGATGTTGAATAATCCTTGCCAGGACCTTACCCGGCACACTGAGGAGTGAGATGCCCCTGTAGTTGTTACAGTCGGTACGGTCCCCCTTCTTAAAGAGGGGAACCACCAGGGCATCCTTCCAGTCCTGCGGAACCCGTCCAGTGGTCCAGACTGTTGTTATGATGTCATATAGGGCAGTCTGTGCACAACGCCACCCTCCCTCAGCATTTCGCTTGGGAGATCATCTCTGCCCGGTGCCTTCCTGGTCTCAGACTCCGGATCGCCTTCAGTACTTCCTCAACAGATGGCACCTCAGCCAGCCACTCACAGGGGGTGACCTCTTCCAATATTTGAGGCACCGCAGCCTCAGCAGGGTTATCACCACTTTGTGCCATGATGTTTTCCTGGCTGAGAGAATTTCCCTCCCCCAGGACCTCACAGAAATGCTCAGCAAATCTGCAAACCTGTTCCTGGGGGTCGGAGATTGGATCACCGTTTTTTCCTCTAATGATGGTAATAGGTGTGGCGCTGCAGGTTACTTTTTTGATGGAGTTAAATAGTGATTTGTGATCACGGGCCACTGAGGCAGACTCCATCTCCTCAGCAACCCGCGACCACCACCCATCCTTACAGCGCCTGACGGCTCTCCGAACTTCTGAGCGAAGGCTGCGGTAAACCTCCTCATTCTCTGACGTGGGATGCTGTAGGCGATGAGAGTGGGCCTGACGCTTTTTCTCAATTAACCTGAACACCTCCTCTGTCAGCCAGGGTTTCTGGGGAGGTCTGGACCGCGTACCCAAAGCAGCCATTGCAGCTGCATGAGTCACAGTCTTAAACCTCGCCCATTTCCCTCGACATCAGGTGGAGTGGGGGACGATGCCAACCCCAGCTGCAAGCGATGATGAAATTCTCGCTTGCAACTTTCATCAGCTAACTGAGACCAGTCCACTTTTGGTTGGAATGGGATCCTGGGTGTACACCCACCACCGGAGTGGAAGAAAGGCAGGCGCATCTTACAGATGACTAGTCGATGGTCAGAGGACAGATCAGCTCCACGGTAGGTCCTGGTGTCAAGGACATGGGCTCGCATCCGCTGGTCCGTCACTATGTAGTCCAGCAGATGTTCTTGCTTGGACCCGGCATGTATCCATGATGTTGTGTGGATGCGCCGATGCCGGAACAGCGTGTTGGTAATTACAAGCCCATGGGCTGCACAAAAATCTAGCAGCCTCCTACCGTTATTATTGAGCTGATCTGGCCCATGCCTTCCAATCACTCCAGACCAGGTACCAGCATCATGACCAACTCGGGCATTGAAGTCACCCAACAAGATGACTCTGTCCCGAGTGGCCACTTTAGCCAGCACCTGTGACAGGAGGTCATAGAAAGAGTCTGACTCATCGGCTTTGCCTGCATCCCTCCACGGATGTTCGTCTTCGGTGGGGGCATAAGTAACCACGACCACCACTCCTCGCCTCTGGTTGATGGGAAGGCGAGCCCAAAGTATCCTGGGGCTTACAGCTTCCCACACCTCACCGCCACGCTCCCACGCCCCCTTCATTCTTTTGTTCAGAAGAAGAGCCACACCCTGTTGTTTGGCAGTCTCCTGCCCCGAGTAGAGGACTGTCCACCCCTCATGGTGGCAGGAGCCAGAACCGGTCCACCGGACCTCCTGAATGCCACAGAGATCCAGGCGGTACCGGTCCAGCTCCCGACAGAGGAGTGGCAGCCTCTCCTCCGCAGTGAGCGTTCGAACATTCCACGTGGCCATCCGCAATGGTTTTTTGTTGTTTCTGGAGGAGCCCCGAGGGTGAAAATTCAATCTCCTGGCTCCGCCAAATGGGGTTTGGCCAGGAGACGTCATAAAAGCCTGACCCCCCGGGGCCTCCGGCACAAGCTTATTTGTTTCAGGTTTATGTTTAATTCGTGGTTTAGTGGTGGTTAATTGAAGGTGGAGGGGTTACCAGCCCCTCACACCCGTCCAGAGCCCCCGTTTAGCCACTGTGGTGGTCATGGCGTCTGTGACACACACACACACACAGTGACACACACACACACACAGTGACACACACACACAGTGACACACACACACACATTTACAGTGACACACACACAGTGACACACACACACAGTGACACACACACACACAGTGACACACACACACATTTACAGTGACACACACACACACATTTACAGTGACACACACACATTTACAGTGACACACACATTTACAGTGACACACACACACAGTGATACACACACACAGTGACACACACACAGTGACACACCACACATTTACAGTGACACACACATTTACAGTGACACACACACACATTTACAGTGACACACACACACATTTACAGTGACACACATTTACAGTGACACACACATTTACAGTGACACACATTTACAGTGGCACACACATGAACAGTGACATACACATTTACAGTAACACACACACACATTTACAGTGACATACACATTTACAGTAACACACACACACATTTACAGTGACACACATTTACAGTGACACACACACATTTACAGTGACACACACATTTACAGTGACACACACATTTACAGTGACACACACATTTACAGTAACACACACATTTACAGTGACACACACATTAACAGTGACACACACATTTACAGTGACACACACATTTACAGTGACACACACATTTACAGTGACACTCAGATTTACAGTAACACACACACATTATACAGTGACACACACACATTTACAGTAATACACACACACACATTTACAGTGACACACACACACATTTACAGTAACACACACACATTTACAGTAACACACACACAGTGACACACACACAGTGACACACACACAGTGACACACACAGTGACACACACATTTACAGTAACACACACACATTAACAGTGACACACACATTTACAGTAACACACACACATTAACAGTGACACACACATTTACAGTAACACATTTACAGTAACACACACACATTTACAGTGACACACACATTTACAGTAACACACACACATTAACAGTGACACACACATTTACAGTAACACACACACATTTACAGTACACACACATTCAGTGACACACACACATTTACAGTAACACACACACATTTACAGTAACACACACATTAACAGTGACACACACATTTACAGTAACACACACACACACATTAACAGTAACACACACACACATTTACAGTAACACACACACATTAACAGTGACACACATTTACAGTGACACACACATTACAGTGACACACACATTACAATAACACACACACATTACAATAACACACACACATTAACAGTGACACACACACATTACAGTGACACACACACATTTACAGTAACACACACATTTACAGTAACACACACACATTTACAGTAACACACACATTTACAGTAACACACACACATTTACTAGTGACACACACATTTACAGTAACACACACATTACAGTGACACACACACATTTACAGTGACACACACACATTTACAGTGACACACACATTAACAGTGACACACACAACATTTACAGTAACACACACACATTTACTAGTGACACACACATTTACAGTAACACACACATTAACAGTGACACACACATTTACAGTGACACACACACATTTACAGTGACACACACACATTTACAGTGACACACACCACATTTACAGTGACACACACACACATTTACAGTGACACACATTTACAGTGACACACACATTTACAGTGACACACACATTTACAGTAACACACACACACATTTACAGTGACACACACACATTTACAGTGACACACACACATTTACAGTGACACACACATTTACAGTGACACACATTTACAGTAACACACACATTACAGTGACACACACATTACAGTGAACACACACATTAACAGTACACACACATTTACAGTACACACACACATTACAGTGACACACATTTACAGTGACACACACATTTACAGTGACACACACATTACAGTGACACACACATTTACAATGAACACACACATTAACAGTGACACACACATTACAGTGACACACACACATTTACAGTGAACACACATTTACAGTACACACACATTTACAGTAACACACACATTTACAGTACACACACACATTTACAGTGACACACACATTTACAGTACACACACATTACAGTGACACACACACATTTACAGTGACACACACACATTTACAGTGACACACACACATTACAGTGACACACACACACATTTACAGTAACACACACATTTACAGTGACACACACATTTACAGTACACACATTACAGTGACACACACACATTTACAGTGACACACACACATTTACAGTGACACACACACATTTACAGTGACACACACACATTTACAGTGACACACACACATTTACAGTGACACACATTTACAGTGACACACACATTTACAGTAACACACACACATTTACAGTGACACACCACATTTACAGTGACACACACATTTACAGTGACACACACATTTACAGTGACACACATTTACAGTAACACACACACATTATACAATGACACACATTAACAGTGACACACACATTAACAGTGACACACACATTTACAGTGACACACACATTTACAGTGACACACACATTTACAGTGACACACATTTACAGTAACCACACACATTATACAATGACACACATTAACAGTGACACACACATTAACAGTGACACACACATTTACAGTGACACACATTTACAGTGACACACACATTTACAGTGACACACACATTTACAGTGACACACATTTACAGTAACACACACATTATACAATGACACACATTTACAGTGACACACCACATTAACAGTGACACACACATTTACAGTGACACACACATTATACAGTGACACACAGATTTACAGTAACACACACATTTACAGTGACACACACACATTTACAGTGACACACATTTACAGTGACACACACACACATTTACAGTACACACACATTTACAGTAACACACACACACATTTACAGTAACACACACACACATTTACAGTGACACACATTAACAGTGACCACACACACATTAACAGTGACACACACATTTACAGTATGACACACACACACATTTACAGTAACACACACACATTTACAGTAACACACACACATTTACAGTGACACACATTAACAGTGACACACACACACTTAACAGTGACACACACATTTACAGTATGACACACACACATTTACAGTGACACACACACATTTACAGTAACACACACACACATTTACAGTAACACACACACACATTTACAGTGACACACATTCAGTGACACACACACCATTAACAGTGACACACACACATTTACAGTATGACACACACATTTACAGTATGACACACACACATTTACAGTATGACACACATTTACAGTGACACACACACACATTTACAGTGACACACACGCACTCGAATATGCACTAAGTTTCACGGGGACCTCCTGTGGCTGTTATTGTTTTTCCCGGGGGCCATTTATACGTTCAGTGCCTTCCCTTGAGCGTGTTTGCAACCTCCCCTTTCTGATGCCTTAGGAATGACACTGTAACTGTCGTACAGGAATTGCACGCAATGGTTTACATGGGTTTGGAAACATGGAATGCTGGAAAAATAAAATGGTTACAATAGTGGAACAGTGCGCCAAGAAGTGTGGATAGGTGCGTGCACGGCGCAGGTTGGATGCACCATGCTAGCGGCTGGGAGCAGCACGTGGGCTTGGGCAGGAGGCCGTCACCGCGTGGGATGATGGCCTCGTGACGGTCGAGATTCATGACGGATTGGCAGCCAGGTGAGGGGACCGGGGAGATGGAGCGGAAAAGACAGCTGGCGTGTGTGAGTACGAGATGGATTGCCACATTGCAGGACCAAGGGATGATGAAGGCTTGGGGGGGGGGGAGAGGCCTTCATCCAGCATTGAATTGACTGAAGATGATGATGAATGCATCAGCTGATTTATCATATTTGGGTATTGCCAAACTCATGATGTGATTAGATGCCTCGAGGCATTGCAATTGATGTTACTCATGAGTTGACAAGTGTGCGCGTGTGTGTGTGAAAGATCTGGGCAAAGTCCCATCGGTGAGCTCCTCCGGCAGGCGAGGCTGCGTTGGCTGGGTCATGTAGCCCGCATGCCCAGCCACCGCATGCCTAAACAGCTCTTGTTTGGCCAGATAGAGGGGGCTAAACGGGCGCGGCACGGGCTAGAGAAGAGGGAGTGATGTGGTACAGGAGGACGTGGAGCTGAGTGGACTTGCCGATGACTGGTACCAGCGGTGTCAAGATCGGCCTCAGTGGAGGAGGCTCGTGAAGGACGCTACTGGGCAGTTGGAGGCAGTCGCCCTCCAACAACAACGGAGGGCAGAGGAGCGACGCTCACAACAACGAGCGGAGCGCCGGGTGGCTAAAGCACAGCAAGTTTGTACAGTAGGGGGCACAGGTGGTGCATCAGCCAGTCATCTCGGTCATCTCGGTCAGTCGACCCGTGGCACCTGCTGGGTCTGCCCCGTGACCTCCTGCCAGCGGGCGTTCGACACTTCACGTGGCCTCAAGGTGCACTTGGCCTGGCACAAGCGTCGTGGTGACGTCACCGCCACTTAGTGGCGAATGGCGGTTGTTGTTGTTGTGTGTGTCTCTGTATTGGACCAGCAGAACCACACAGTGATCCGGTGCAGCAAGAATGGACGCTGGAGTGGGGAACTGCAGCTGTGCCCGCACGAGCAGGGCGAGTGCACCGCCCCGGACCCTCCGTTCATCATCACATGCGACTGCCCTACCGGATACGGAATAGGTAACGGCGTAGCTGGCTTCTCAAACATATTTGTATATTTTGTTGAGTATTTATGGGGTTATGGGGGTAGTAGCACAGCAGCGGTAGACACGCCTCGAATGGATGTGTGTGAAAAAGAGCTTCGTAACTCATCGGATTCTTCCAATATAAATGAATATTCTGATTCTGTGTGTGTGTGTATAGTGGGAGTGATACTGATCACCCACCCCCTCATGGTGCTCACTGACAGCACTTGCCCTGCAGTCTTTTGAGACTATACCGGTGATCTTCTTCCATAGCTGTAGTGTCGTGGGCAGCGTGCAAACCGGCAACCGAGTTCGTTTCCGGCTTGCGGCTAATATTCAGCGACGAATATCTGAACCAGTCCTGGGCCTCCACTGGGTCAACTCAGCCTGAATGAGTACTTGGTGTGTGACGTGTGAGCAGGCGTGGTGCTGACCACCCACCCCCCCCCCCCGGCCTTCATAGGTGCTCACTAGCAGAACTTGCCCAAGCAGCTTGCTAAAGGCTATATTTTTGCTTTTATATATACAAGGTGGCACTGGAACATTGAGATTATTTGGTTTGAAATCCACAGAAAGAAAATTTGAAAAAAGAAAGAAAATTTGAAAAACGTCTTTTTTCTAATTTTCTTGCGGTGGATTTCACACCTGATGATGATTGCTGCTTGTGTTGCAGTCGAAACGTCGTGAGAATTTTTTTGTTTTATATTCAATTATTTTATTATCTCCCTTCTACGTGACTTTACCGAAAGAACCAAGAACACACGTTTGAATGTAGAACCAAACGATGGGACAACAGCTGGTGAACAATGTTGTACATTGTACCTGAGAAATGTATCAACCAAATAATCTCAATGTTCCAGTTCCACCTTGTATATATATAATAAAGACAAAGATTCCCCCATAGAGCCTTTAGCAAGCTTCCCCATCGTTTGGTTCCACATTCAAACGGGAGTTGCTTTTAATTGAAATTCTCTCTCGCACCTCCCCGCGAGTTTTGCGTCTTGGGTTTGGGCCTGTGCGTGTCTGTTCGGCACGGCGGTTCCAACACTTCACCCGACGTGTCGGGGGCTTCTTCGGGGGAAGTGAATGAAGAAGGTCCCAGCACGTGGAGTGAAACGTCGGGCATCGTGCCAGGCTAAAAGGCACGACGGGCAAAACTCAGAAGACACAGCGGAGAGAGCTTTGTGTCGTAACCTACGCGGTGGCAAATCCACTTGCAGTTGCCACTTGCTGCTGCTACGTGTGTGTGTCTGTGTGTGTGTCTCTGTGTGTGTCTCTGTGTGTCTGTGTGTGTGTCTCTGTGTCACTGTGTGTGTGTCACTGTGTCTCTGTGTGTGTGTCACTGTGTGTATGTGTGTGTGTCTGTGTATATGTGCCTGTGTGTCTGTGTGTGCCACTTGTAGCTTTACAAAGGAGAGTAAATTTGCTCCATTTTTTTTGTTCACTTTTCTTGAAGGGGGATTTTCCAAATCGTTGTGCTCGTGGGGGAATAAAAAAATGCCACCTTGTCAATCGAAGTTTTCCAGTTTCTTAAAAAGCTTCGGCTTTACAACGATTGGTCGGTCAAGGTGTTGCCCACTCCGTCTCTCTGCTCAGAAGGTCCATTGCCCCGACATATCAGTCTCCTCCTGTACAGATTTGTTCCCGTTGTAAGGCAACGGTCATCACGAAAGTGTGGAGAGAAGTTTTTGAAACTGTCACCCTCGCAATCGCCGCAACTGCCAATCTCGGCGCTCTATCCATTAGGCGCACGAATCGATCTCATCTTTGGCCGCCCCACGGCACAGCCCCGAATCTCTGCCGCCGGACCGCACTCCGTGACGCTTGTCATTTCGTGCGGAAGAACATTTCACTTTAGTGGGGAACAACAGTCGGTCGTAATTATGATCATTTTAATTCAAAGGGTGCCCTTAATTTGATCCCAGAATACCAAGCGTGTTAAAGATGAATGACTCAGTGCGAGGTAATGAGGGAGAGAATGACTCGAGGGACAAGATGGAGGACTCGAGAGAGAGGCCCTTTGAAACAGGACGGGTCTTCCGCAGGGACTTAGAAGCAGAGGTCGCAACCGGGTACCCGATACCCGCACCCTACCCGATACCCGGCTACCCGTACCCGGCCGGGTAGCCGGGTATCGGGTATCCGTTTGCGACCCTGGTGCGGCCGGGTACGCGTAGACCGTGAGTCACAGGTGAGTCACCGTTTGTCGCTCATTTCCCAACGTCTTGTCTCTTCTCACAATTCAAGTTCCTAGAATCAACCCACCCGCGCCTGCAACATGGCTTCGTCCCAGAGGTCACAATCGGATACCCGATACCCGTACCCTACCCGTACCCGTACTCTACCCGTACCCGGCCGGTACGGGTAGGGTACGGGTACGGCCGGGTACGGGTACCCGTTTGCGACCCTGGTGCGGCCGGGTACGGGTAGGGAATCAAAACCCGTTTGCGACCTCTGCTTAGAAGGTCTCCATTGACTCTTTTTGAGCTCCGAGGGCACACTCGGGGCGCCGTGCAGACACAAAATCTCGATCGCTACAGATTCCGAGTCGTCCAACGGCAAGCGCCTCGTGACGGTGAACGTGTATGTGTTTAACTGCTTTAGCAACGCACGTAGCACGCCATGCTCATCGGAAGTACGGCGGGGGGGGGGGGTGTGAGGACAACAAACTAAACACAAGAAGCAGTTCAACATCTACACGTGATGACGACGATGGCGGTGGTGATGGTGGTTTGGTGTCTCCCTGTTGCCAGGATCCGTGTGCAAAACAAGCTGCCTGATCCCACACAGCGACTCCGTTTTGCTCCCTGAGAATGTCACCGTCCCGGAGAAGATCACCGCCCCGTCTGCCGCACTGGTGGACACTCCCCACCAAAGTTGAGGTCGGTCCTTTCTTGAAGCCGCGCGTGAGGATTTGCGTGCGGTGGGCACCCCCTCCCCCCCAACCTTTTCCCGTTCCGATGGCGTACGCACGTGTCACGTGTGCGCCATCGGTTCTTTACAATTCCATTCTGTGGACGCGTGTGTGATTCCGCGATGACGTTCGTACACGTCAAGCCATGCGGGCGCGTGGGGCACGGTTTTGCGCCAGCTATCGCAGAGTGAGTTTGTGTCGCTACAGTTCTCTGCATTGTGTTAAAAAACAGTGGCGCTATAACTCTCCAAATACCATTAACACTGAACCGCTCGCATGTTCTGAGATTGGGCGGTGAATGGGACTCCACCACCCTGCAACTTGGAGACATCTCAGACACGGGAACAGGTTAAATGCCTCAGCAGCTGCAAGCGCCTTGCGTCACTCACACCTCGTCTCAACAATCCCAGTGCTCTGCTGCTGCAGGTTTACGCGCGAGTCTGCCAGCGCGGCAGTGGTGTTGCGATATGGTTTTTCTCGATGAAGTACATTGTGAGAAGTTTCATGTGCCAGTGCACACACAACCTCTGTTTTGCGTGACCTCACGGGGGATCTTGAGGGTCCACTGCGAAACAAACGGTGCCATCTTCCTTCGGTCGGTAAAAACCCCCGTGATTAACCAGGGCGGTCCATGGGCTTGAAGCGCGAAAATCTGCAAGCAACGGAAAATGCGCTGCTGGTGCTGCTGAGCCATGTCACCTTGTGTGACATTGCGAGGATGTTTTTTTCGTCTGCATTCTTGAAACCAAGCTTTCTTGATTTGTTTTACAGTTGGCTTTAGACGGCTGCAGCGTTGGTTTAAATCACGGCGCGCTCCAGTTATGTCGGTATGAAGGTGTGTTCACGTTTTCATTGCACGCCTGCATCTCCGTTATGAAGGGGAGGATAAATGGTTTTAAACCAAACGAAAGTCGCTCAAGTTGAGTTCTACACTTTTGTGACAACGTGCGACAGCAGTCGCTTCCACGGTGCATCGACTGATCCTCTATTAATATCGATTCTGCGAAATCCGCTTTCGAGGGCCGTTCTCTCAAGCGCACCTGCGATGAACGCCGTTGGCTACGTACGACGTGAAACAAGTTGAGCATCCACACGAGACCCGCTTAAAGCCGTGCGGTGGTAGCGGCAGCAATGGCGTCGTCACCAGCAGTTGCAGAACGCAAACAACATCCGTATGCAGCGACACACTCGGAGAGACAGGGAAGTAGGAGGCACTCTGTTTATTAGCAGCCTTCACGAGCTACAAGGGGCAACAACAACAACAACACACCCCCAGTCAGGATGGCCGGCAGACCGCCGGACTGACGACGCCCGAGAAGGTGAAGACATCGACGAAGACTCCATCAGCACGACGGGGGGATCCCACTCCAAGCGACAGCCCCGAGCTTCCGTTCTGGGTCCACTTTTATCCTCCCGGCCACGCCCCCTTCTAGAACGTACCAGCGGGTTCCCGGGCTCACCTCACGTGCCCCCCCCCCCTGTCACCTTTCCCCGACACCCTCTCTCTGACTTGTCACGTGACCTGCCGACAGGCAGGGCTGCTGTTGCTGCTGCTGCAACTGCAGATTCTCCCCCTTCTCTGGCAGCAACCCGCGCTGTGCTGCGTAGTGACCCGTTCCATGTCATTGCACTTTTCTAAATACATTAACGCCCCCTGCATGCACCCCCCCCCCACCGCCTCGGGTCCCTCTAACTGTAGGCGCACAGTGATTGCATCACCTTTCTCTATTCAAGACGGGAAACAGGTTGGAATGTTGAGACGATGCGCAAACGACGAGCTCGATTGCGAACGTGGCGGGGCGTTTGCTCTCCCAACACGCAACTGGACGGGGGGGGCTGAAGCAGTGACAAGTTGTGTTGGATCTATGCCCTGTTTTCCGTTATTAATATTAAGAATAATTAAGAAAAAAAAATTATTTTTGTTTTTATTATATCTATATTTGTTTTAATAATGAGGACGGCTCACTTCTCCTCACGGGCACACCGGGAGTCCATGAGACATGGAGGGCGGTTGAAATGATAGGAATTCGGTCACAAGAGGTCATAGACATCCAGACGGACAAAAAGATGTATGGACTAAACCTCCAAGACATCTGGAGATGTACAGATAAGGTGCAGAGTGAATAACGGTTGAAACTTCGCGTTTTCTTAACGTTTCCCTCACCGAAAAGTAGAAACTTAACAAAGATAATTAACCAACAAACAATAATATTTTTACTATTATTATATGTTTCCTACTTACACGACCTTCCAAAAAAACTAAAGAGTACGAATTCCAGAAAGCTTAAGTGCATGTGCACTTAACCTCAGGACATAAAAAAATTAACTCACAATAAAACACCAATCTCTGGAGAACTAAACTTGGCGAAGCCCAAAATAATAATGTGACGAGGATCATGGCGAATATTCATTAAACATAGACGAATGATAACCACGATACTAAGACCGAAGGAACTCATAAAATATAATTCAAGAATAAATGTAACACACAGGACCACATAAATGTATTGCAAACATCTCCTCGACCACCTTTGTCTTCCAGCGGGGTCTGACCTCAGAATGACCCACCCAGGGTAAGCAAGGAGGGAGCAAAAGGTCACAAGGGGGGGGGGGGTTTGTGCTGACATTGGTTGTTTTCTTCTCGCAAGAGACGCGGAGAGAGGAGTGACTGCTCGCGTGTTTGAGTTAAGCACGGCCGTCTTTGTCTCCCCGCAGCACAAACAGATGGCCCATGAATACTTGGAGGGTTAGGAAGGTCGCGAGGAGGGGACGCGGTGATGTCTGCTTTCTCGCACTGTTTAGGTTGTTGTCTCTCGCAAAAGAAAGAGGAGGGTGATCGCGTTTTGAGCACAAACAGCAAGATTTGCACACGCAAGCAAAATAACATTCCCCACCCCTCCTCCCAGAATGGTTACACCGCTGGGTCTTTACTAATAAACGCACACGCACACGAAACACACGAACGCAGATGTGTTCAACCCACAGAAAGATATATGACGGCCTTCAAACAACTCGGGAAGATTGAGTGGATTTTCTGATATAAGCCGGGGAAAAATCCATTCAACTCAGATCGACAGGGGCTCTGGCCCCCACCACAGATCTCCAGGGCTTCGGCTCCATCTCTTCTCGTCGACGCCAACGAAGAAGCTTTTCGTCATACAGAAGGACAGGTTCGCGCGGTGAAGTAAAGCTGGCAGCCGCACGAACAAGGGGAACACGGAGCAGAGAGAGAGTGACGAGTGACGACAAGCAATCAACCTGTAAAAGGGCAGAGATCGCCAAGCGTCGACCAAGCGAGCAAAGCAGAGCGCGAAGCAGTGGAGGAAGCCTGGTCAAACGGCTGCGAGGGAGAGGACAGCGCCATCGAATGCGCCGTGTGCCTGAGGGCACACCGACCAACGACCAGTGTGACACACAAGACGTCCAGAGCGACGGCGAGCATCGTGCCGACTCAACAATCAATCGAGCAGTGGAGAAGCCGGGGGCTGCCACCAAGAAAGCGCGTGCGCCCCTTGCGCCACCGTGCGCCAGCTTGCGCCACCGTGCGCCACCGTGCGCCACCTTGCGCCACCTTGCGCCACCGTGCGCCACCTTGCGCCACCTTGCGCCACCGTGCGCCACCGGGCGCCACCGTGCGCCACCTTGCGCCACCGTGCGCCACCCTGCGCCACCGTGCGCCACCGGGCGCCACCGTGCGCCACCGAGCGACACCGTGCGCCACCCTGCGCCACCGTGCGCCACCGGGCGCCACCGTGCGCCACCGTGCGCCACGAGCGACACCGAGCGACACGAGCGACCGAGCATCTTCAAGGAGAACATCGTGCCAACGCCGCTCAATCCAGCAGTGGAGAGAGAGAGAGAGCAAAAGCCGAGCGACACGCCGAGCGAGGGAGCAGCAGGAGCTTGCGGCGGCCACGCCCAATCGAGAGGAACATCTGGCCGCTGTTCGTATCCTCCCACACCACACAAGCTAACGACACAATTAATATTACGAGGGGACAACGCACACACAGCACGCACACGAATAAGACTTTAAAAGAAAAACTGTCTTTGCGTTTCAAAAAGGGTTGCCATTTCGAGGTGGTGCGTTCAATATCAACTGATCGTGCAAAGCAGTTTGCTGCCGTCGAGTTACATGAATAAGAAATGTTTGGTCATTCATTTTCGTTAACTGCATAATTTCGCCAATGAAGAAGTATTTTTAGTCATTCAATTTCGTTAATTGCATAAGATTGCCCATGAATTTATTGACGTATACTCGCTTTCGCATACTAGAGTGTCATGTGCTTGTTTAGAATTAAAATTGCTTAACACCAACTGTTCGAGTGCTTCTTTCCAAGTCCATGCAAAACTGTCTTATTCTTGACAACTGTATCCTGTGATGAGATCTGAACCTGGAGACCTTAAAAAATATAATAAACACACTAAGATAATCAGTAAATGTTTAATCGATGATAATCGTGTTATCCTGATTGATATAACCCTGGATAAACGAAACCAAGCCTAATTAACATAACTGCTTATATTAACATAATCGCAAGCATCCGCATAAATTACTACGATTATCTCTACGATTATCATAATTTATGCATATAATTACACGCATTATCATAATTTATGCATGTTAATACACGCACTATCATAATTAATGCGATTTGCGCATTTTTCGGAAAATTATTAATTTTTATTTTTTATCAAAATTTCATAATCCCGAAACATACAACAGTTGGCACGTGACGTTCGCGTGACAAACCTTACCGCTCGTCCGCGTGGGGCGGATGTGGGGTGCACAACACACATTGTGGCATTTTACCAAGCCAAAGGAGGTTTTTTTTAAATCACGAGTAGTAAATGATTCGATACGGAAATGTTCTTGTGAATCGACAGGAGATCGTCTGCACGGGGAAGAAGATGTGGCACCCCCCCCACGTGCCATCTACTGCTTCCAAGATTGTGAGGTAAGAACCCTTTGGTGTACGTACCACCTACGTATGTTGAACTACTTTCCTTTGCTCGCAACTCTAACACAAAACAACTTTAAGGGCCGAGCTTCCAAGTGTTGCCAGCCATTTGAAGTAAAGTACGATGCTCCGTTTTCACCTTGCACGTGAACTGAAGCAAATATTCAAACAGCTTGAAATATATCGTTTGTGTGTATATGCAGTACACATGTTAGTGGGAGTGGTAGTGTAGTGTGTGTATATGCAGTACACAGGTTAGTGGGAGTGTAGTGTAGTGTGTGTATACAGTACACAGGGTAGTGGGAGTGGTAGTGTAGTGTGTGTATGCAGTACACATGTTAGTGGGAGTGGTAGTGTAGTGTGTGTATATGCAGTACACAGGTTAGTGGGAGTGTAGTGTAGTGTGTGTATACAGTACACAGGGTAGTGGGAGTGGTAGTGTAGTGTGTGTATGCAGTACACATTAGTGGGAGTGGTAGTGTAGTGTGTGTATATGCAGTACACAGGTTAGTGGTAGTGTAGGTGTGTGTACAGTACACACGTTAGTGGTAGTGTAGTGTGTGTACAGTACACACGTTAGTGGGAGTGTAGTGTGTGTATACAGTACACAGGGTAGTGGGAGTGGTAGTGTGTGTACAGTACACAGGTTAGTGGTGTGTGTGTATACAGTACACAGGGTAGTGGTGGTGTGTGTGTATACAGTACACAGGGTAGTGGTAGTGTAGTGGTGTGTGTGTGTATACAGTACACAGGGTAGTGGGAGTGGTAGTGTAGTGTGTGTACAGTACACACGTTAGTGGTAGTGTAGTGTGTGTATACAGTACACAGGTTAGTGGGAGTGGTAGTGTAGTGTGTGTATATAGTACACAGGTTAGTGGTATGTAGTGTGTGTGTACAGTACACAGGTTAGTGGGAGTGTAGTGTGTGTATATAGTACACAGGTTAGTGGGAGTGTAGTGTGTGTATACAGTACACAGGTTAGTGGGAGTGGTAGTGTAGTGTGTGTACAGTACACAGGGTAGTGGGAGTGTAGTGTGTGTATACAGTACACAGGTTAGTGGGGAGTGGTAGTGTAGTGGTGTGTATACAGTACACATGTTAGTGGTAGTGTAGTGTGTGTATACAGTACACAGGTTAGTGGGGAGTGGTAGTGTAGTGGTGTATACAGTACACAGGTTAGTGGTAGTGTAGGTGTGTATACAGTACACAGGTTAGTGGGGAGTGTTAGTGTAGTGTGTGTGTACAGTACACAGGGTAGTGGGAGTGGTAGTGTGTGTGTACAGTACACAGGGTAGTGGGAGTGGGAGTGTAGTGTGTGTATACAGTACACAGGGTAGTGGGAGTGGTAGTGTAGTGTGTATACAGTACACACGTTAGTGGAAGTGTAGTGTGTGTATACAGTACACAGGGTAGTGGGAGTGTAGTGTGTGTATACAGTACACAGGGTAGTGGTAGTGTGTGTATACAGTACACAGGTTAGTGGTAGTGTAGTGTGTGTATACAGTACACAGGTTAGTGGGAGTGGTAGTGTAGTGTGTGTATACAGTACACAGGGTAGTGGGAGTGGTAGTGTAGTGTGTGTATACAGTACACAGGTTAGTGGTAGTGTAGTGTGTGTATACAGTACACATGTTAGTGGGAGTGGTAGTGTAGTGTGTGTATACAGTACACAGGGTAGTGGGAGTGGTAGTGTAGTGTGTGTATACAGTACACAGGTTAGTGGGAGTGGTAGTGTAGTGTGTGTATACAGTACACAGGTTAGTGGGAGTGGTAGTGTAGTGTGTGTATACAGTACACAGGTTAGTGGGAGTGTAGTGTGTGTACAGCACACAGGTTAGTGGGAGTGGTAGTGTAGTGTGTGTATACAGTACACAGGTTAGTGGGAGTGGTAGTGTAGTGTGTATACAGTACACATGTTAGTGGGGAGTGGTAGTGTAGTGTGTGTGTACAGTACACAGGTTAGTGGGGAGTGGTAGTGTGTATACAGTACACAGGTTAGTGGGGAGTGGTAGTGTAGTGTGTGTGTACAGTACACATGTTAGTGGGGAGTGGTAGTGTAGTGTGTGTGTACAGTACACAGGGTAGTGGGAGTGGTAGTGTAGTGTGTGTATACAGTACACAGGTTAGTGGGGAGTGGTAGTGTAGTGTGTGTATACAGTACACATGTTAGTGGTAGTGTAGTGTGTGTATACAGTATACAGGTTAGTGGGGAGTGGTAGTGTAGTGTGTGTATACAGTACACATGTTAGTGGTAGTGTAGTGTGTCAGTACACAGGTTAGTGGTAGTGTAGTGGTGTGTACAGTACACAGGTTAGTGGGGAGTGGTAGTGTAGTGTGTATACAGTACACATGTTAGTGGGGAGTTGTAGTGTAGTGTGGTGTGTACAGTACACAGGTTAGTGGGGAGTGGTAGTGTAGTGTGTGTATACAGTACACAGGTTAGTGGTAGTGGTGTGTATACAGTATACAGGTTAGTGGGGAGTGGTAGTGTAGTGTGTATACAGTACACAGGTTAGTGGTAGTGTAGTGTGTGTATACAGTACACAGGTTAGTGGTAGTGTAGCGGTGTGTATACAGTACACAGGTTAGTGGTAGTGTAGTGTGTATACAGTACACAGGTTAGTGGGGAGTAGTAGTGTAGTGGTGTGTATACAGTACACATGTTAGTGGTAGTGTAGTGTGTGTATACAGTACACAGGGTAGTGGGAGTGGTAGTGTAGTGTGTGTATACAGTACACAGGTTAGTGGGAGTGGTATGTGTGTGTGTATACAGTACACAGGTTAGTGGGGAGTGGTAGTGTAGTGGTGTGTGTACAGTACACAGGTTAGTGGGAGTGGTAGTGTAGTGTATGTGTAGGGCTGTTACAGAGGGGCTGTTTGTGTAGGGCTGTTTGCATAGGATCTAACGGATGACAAACACAGTGGGCGGGGACTCCGCCAGTACACGGGGTGGTGCCCGCAACGACGTCCGCACCGGGCGCGTGAGGGGGGGTTGTGATCCTCTGGGGGAGTATAAAAGGGATGAGCCAGAGAGCTCGGGGTTCAGTCTTAGAGTAAATAGGGAAGACGGAAGATCGACCAGATAGGCCCTGGACTCCCCTGGGACGCCGCCCTTATAAGGGCAGCGCAGGACGGAGCCAGTGGCGTGTCCCGTGAACCAGAGTTAGTACTCTGGGACTCCCGGTACCGGCCCGACTGACCAGTGTCGGGCCAGACAGCCTCCCCTAGCCCGTTAGTGGAGGACTCGGGGTAGGTCAGGGATAGCTAGAGGGTATCCCCAGTTATACGGGTGAGGGGGCCGATACACCCCTCTAGTGCTGTACGACCATTGTGTAAATAAACACGTGTGCCTTACAACGGTGTCCAAGCGTCTTCAAGGGTACTTCATCTGGTGTCAGAAGACTACGAACATGGACACGCGCCAATCAGCTCGGGCCAAAGTACAACAAATGGAGGACGCCGCCGAAATTGTCGAGCCCGAGATGGCTCAACAAGACATCGTGCAGCCGGGGCCGGACGCGTTCTTACCGGAGCGTCGGCATGAAGAGGGGCCGCAGACAGACGAGCTGAGGCTGGCTCACGAGAGGCTGGCTGAACTGCTTTACGCCGCTGCCGCCACGCTGGAGAGCATCACGCGGCTGGGGGCTGGTGGTCCACCGCGGGGCGAGGGGAGCCGGCGTCCGGAGCGCCTTCCCGCCATTTCCGAAGATTCAAACTTTGAATTTCCCGCCATCGATGCGGCGGCCGCTAGGGGCGTGGCCAGCCTGAACCTCGGGTCCGACATCGGCCGCGCTGGGGCTGCCGCGTCACGACGGAGGAGGGCGCGTCATCACGGCTGCGACAGGCGATACCATCTGCCGTTCGCGCCGAACACAGCAGTCGGGGAGACAGCAGCCCGCGGGATTCCACGGCAACCGCTGCGCTGCACCAAAGACTGCCTCCGCTTAAAGAATTTGTGGGCGCAGAAGGCGACTGGGGCGGCTTCCAGCGACGCTTCCTCGCCCACCAAGAAATGGCCAAATGGACGGATGCTGAAGCTCTCTGCGCGCTGCCGGCGCTCCTCGACGGCGACGCGCTCGCCGCCCTCACATCGGCGCGAAGGAGAAGCGCTCTACGCTACCGTTGGCGCTGCAGCTGCTGGCCGGGGTCTACGGACCTTCCGCGGAATGCAGGCAGCAGTTCTACACGACCGCCAGCGGGGCACGAAGGAGTCGCCCCTGGCATACAGAACAAGTCTCCTGGCGTTGGCCAAGACAGCCTTTCCTCGCATGGACGAGGACGGGGTCGACGCCATGGTGACAGAAAAATCCTCCTGCTGGCAGACGACCTGGACATCGCCGTCGTTGCACAGGAGGATACGGAGATGACTTCCCTACAAGCGGCGCGGCTCCTCCACGCCAACCTGCTGTCACAGCGGCGGAAGGCCAGCAGGGCAGCGGCCGGGCGTGCGGTGGCGGCAGCCACCCTCCCGCGGAGGAGGTTTTCGCCGTCAACCATCGTCGGCAGCAGGGGACGGGAGCACGGTCGGGCCGGGATGGGTCGAGCCGCTTCGACCGTCCGTCATCGCCGCCGGCGCTCCCGCGTTGCTTCAACTGCGGCGTCCGAGGCCATGTCGCCTCGGGGTGCCGCTCTCCCCGACAGTGCGGGACGACGCCTCGCCAGGACGCCGGGCCTCCTCCTCCTCCTCCCAAGCTCCATCAACATGATCCGGCGAGTCGCGGCACCACACATGTTTGGTCAAAACACACACCTGTCGCACACTCTCGCATCGCAACGAATGGGGGGACGACGTTGCATCGCGACGGGTCGGCGCGCACCACTGTGGGGACTCGAATCGAGCCCGGGCAGTGGTCTGCGTTGGCCCATCGCGTTGTGGCCGCATCGTCGGGGTCGTCGGCCGTCGTGGGACACATTGACGGGGTTGAGGTACGCATCCTGGTCGACACGGGGGCATCGGCGACCATTATTTCCGAATTAATTTACAACATTTTACCTGTCCAAAGCCGTCCCTTACTGCCAGTTAACGTCCCATTCTATGCGGCAAACGGGGGCTCCCTTGGCATCATTGGACAGATTCGAGCGCAAATTTGTATCGGGGATATCAAATTATCAGGCCCGATTTTTGTTTCCTCCTCGCTGGCGGTTCCGTGCCTGCTGGGGACGGACTTCTTGGGTAAAATGCCGATTCGCATTTTAATAGACCAGGGATGCATTGAGCTCCCGTCGGGACGGCGCATGGCGTTCCTGCCTTCTCCTACTGTGATTCGGACGGCGTTCGTAACTATACCAGCGTCCGTCGTTGAAACGGTTCGTGTGCCGCCGGGAGCTCAATGCTAGTACCTCTAAGACTTCGTCGGCCCTTCGCGGAGGGCATCGGGGCCCAGGGAATCCTGTTAGGACCGTCTAGGGCCGGGGTTAGTGGACCGCATTTGATTCCGGCCCTGACCGTTGTGAGGGGAGATGGGGACCCTTTCATCGCGGTCCTCAATGTGGGATCGCAAACTGTTGTAGTTCCTCAAGGGACGGTGCTTGCGCACGCGACGCCGATGCCCTGCGAGGAACCGGTTGCGAATCATGTCGGCACCGCCGCCCGACTGCACCCACATTCGGACAGCGATGACGGGTGGCTCGACGCGCTTTTTGCGGGATCGACGGACCTGTCAAATTCAGAGCGCCAACAGCTTAGATCGCTACTGCAGGAATTTTCCGACGTTTTTAGTCGGAATAATACGATTTGGGTTGTACTCATCTGCTGCGTCACCATATTGACACGGGTGACAGCGCGCCAATTCGCCAAAATCCGTTTCGGTTGAGTCCCGCCGAAAAGGACCATGTCAAATTGGCCGTTGATGACATGTTAGCCGCCGACATTATTTCTCCCTCTACCAGCCCTTGGGGAGCGCCGATCGTCCTGGTTAAAAAGCAGGACGGCTCGTTGCGGTTTTGCGTTGATTTTCGGCGCCTAAACAAAATTTCGGTTGCCGACGCATACCCGCTCCCACGGATGGACGAATCGCTGGACGCCTTGGCGGGAGCGCGATTCTTCTCCACGCTGGATTTACTTTCGGGATTCTGGCAGCTTCCTCTGGATGATGAATCGAAACCTAAAACTGCTTTCCGTACACCGCACGGCCTGTTCCAATTCAACCGGTTGCCGATGGGCTTACACTCAGCGCCGGCAACCTTCCAGCGTTTGATGGAATTGGTTTTGGCTGGATTGCAATGGGAGTCGTGCCTGATTTATTTGGATGACGTTATTGTCTTCGCTAAAACTTTTGACGAACATCTCCAGAGGTTGCGGGCGGTTTTCCTAAAGATGCGGGCTGCTAATTTGAAGTTCAAGCCCCAAAAATGTCATTTGTTACGCGATTCCGTGCGTTATTTGGGCCACATCGTAGGGCGCTCGGGTATTGCTACCGATCCCGCCAAAACGCAGTGTGTCAGCTCCTGGCCGACTCCCACCTCGGTGGGAGAGGTCAGGAGTTTCGTCGGCTTCGCGTCGTATTACAGAGGTTCGTCGCCGACTTTGCAACAATTGCCAAACCCCTACACGCCTTAACATCAAAAGGGGTTCGGTTCCACTGGGGTCAGGAGGAGGAGGCTGCTTTTTGCTCCCTTCGGGACGCCCTGGTAAAAGCTCCTCCCTTGATTTACCCCGATTTTTCAAAACCGTTTCTGCTCGACACCGATGCGAGCAACACGGGTATTGGGGGCGTGCTTTCCCAGGTGGTTGACGGCGTCGAACGGGTGGTTGCGTACGGCAGTCGGGTGTTGTCTCACAGAGCAAAGATATTGTGTCACCCGCAGAGAACTGTTGGCAATTGTCTATTTCATCCAACAGTATTGCCCATATCTGTACGGTCGGCGTTTCACCGTCCGCACAGATCATGCGGCACTGCAGTACGCCCTGCGAGTTCAACAGCCATCGGGACAATTGTCCCGATGGTTGGAGATCCTCCAGGATTTTGATTTCGAAACCACCTACCGTAAGGGCGTTCGCCACACCAACGCGGACGCTCTGTCGCGCATGCCAACCACCTCAGAATGTGCATGCCTCCTGGGGTCGGGACGTTGCAAGCCAGCAGGGGACATGTCGGTTCCGGTCCTTGCGGCCGCCGCCGACGGCGGGACAGTTGTTCCAAATTCTATTGAACAACAAGGGAAAGATTCCCTGCTGGGTTTGCACATTCAGGAATGGGGGCGCCTCCAGATGGAGGATACCTCCCTCCTCGCGTTGCGCCGTCGCGCCGGGGAGGCGGGCGGGGATCGGGTGATGCCGACGCATGGGAATTGCACGCGGGGTTGCTGCCATGCTAAATTCAGAACAGCGTCAGAAGGCAAATGAGCGCCTCAGACTGGGTCGCGCGCACGTGCTGCAGTGGAAGCCGGGGGACAGGGCATGGCTGCACTGCCCCCAGGTACCACTCGCGACATCCTCTAAACTGGGGCGGCCGTGGAGGGGTCCTGTCGAGGTGGTCGAGGTTCTGCGGCCTCAGTGTGTTCGCATCAAATGGGGGAAGCGCCGTGGTTTGTGCACCCCTCGAGACTTAAACCATTCGTTGCGGTGCGAGGCCCCACTCTACACACGCGTGGCCAAACGTGGGGGGTCGGCCGACTCAAGGGTCCGTCTCTGCTGCCCTCGCCTGACGTGTCGCCAGCTGTCCCGCCCACAGGTGCACCGGGATTGACGGGCTCGCACCCAACCACCGCTACGGGGGATGCCGAGGGTCTCGCGACGTCAAACGCGGACTCAATACGGAATGAACAGCTGCCACCGGGCGGTCCGCCATCCGGGGTTGCCCCGTGTGACGGGCCTGCAGCAAGGACGCGCGCAAAAATGCGCAGACTCTTATAATGCATTAAAGGAGACTTATTTCTCTTGTGTATGGTTGCGGGGTGCTGCGTCGGTGGGGAGCTCCTGCCACATTGTGTTGTGTTGCGTGTGTGCTAGGGGTTCCCTGCTAAAACTGTATATACGTCGCTCTTACGGAATTCGTGTTTATTCAGGGGGGTGCGTCGGATTGTTTCCCTTCGGGTTGTTGGTTTTTGTTGTTCCCTTCACGTTATGGTTAAAAACGTTTTTTTGAGGCACACGCGGAGATCAAGGGGTTAATAAACCTTTATTGAAGTTGTTGCAGCCGGGACGGCTGCGAGCTGTACAGGGGGGGGTGATGTAGGGCTGTTACAGAGGGGCTGTTTGTGTAGGGCTGTTTGCATAGGATCTAACGGATGACAAAACAGTGGGCGGGGACTCCGCCAGTACACGGGGTGGTGCCGCAACGACGTCCGCACCGGGCGGCGTGAGGGGGGGTTGTGATCCTCTGGGGGAGTATAAAAGGGGATGAGCCAGAGAGCTCGGGGTTCAGTCTTAGAGTAAATAGGGGAAGACGGAAGATCGACCAGATAGGCCCTGGACTCCCCTGGGACGCCGCCCTTATAAGGGCAGCGCAGGACGGAGCCAGTGGCGTGGTCCCGTGAACCAGAGTTAGTACTCTGGGACTCCGGGTACCGTAGCCCGACTGACCAGTGTCGGGCCAGACAGCCTCCCCTAGCCCGTTAGTGGAGGACTCGGGTAGGTCAGGGATAGCTAGAGGGTATCCCCAGTTATACGGGTGAGGGGGCCGATACACCCCTCTAGTGCTGTACGACCATTGTGTAAATAAACACGTGTGCCTTACAACGGTGTCCAAGCGTCTTCAAGGGTACTTCATATGTATACCGTACACAGGTTAGTGGTAGTGTAGTGTGTGTATACAGTACACAGGTTAGTGGTAGTGTAGTGTGTGTATACAGTACACAGTTAGTGGGAGTGTAGTGTGTGTATACAGTACACAGTTAGTGGGAGTGGTAGTGTAGTGTGTGTATACAGTACACAGTAGTGGTGGTAGTGTAGTGTGTGTATACAGTACACAGTTAGTGGGAGTGGTAGTGTAGTGTGTGTACACGTACACAGGTAGTGGGGAGTGGTAGTGTAGTGTGGTACAGTACACAGGTTAGTGGGAGTGTAGTGTGTGTATACAGTACACAGTAGTGGGAGTGGTAGTGTAGTGTGTATACAGTACACAGGTAGTGGGAGTGGTAGTGTGTGTGTGTATACAGTACACGTTAGTGGGAGTGGTAGTAGTGTGTGTATACAGTACACACGTTAGTGGTAGTGTAGTGTGTGTATACAGTACACACGTTAGTGGGAGTGGTAGTGTGTGTGTACAGTACACAGTTAGTGGGGAGTGGTAGTGTAGTGTGTGTACAGTACACAGGTAGTGGGAGTGGTAGTGTAGTGTGTGTATACAGTACACAGTAGTGGGGAGTGGTAGTGTGTGTGTGTATACAGTACACACGTTAGTGGTAGTGTAGGTGTGTGTATACAGTACACACGTTAGTGGTAGTGTAGTGTGTAGACAGTACACACGTTAGTGGTAGTGTAGTGTGTTATACAGTACACACGTTAGTGGGAGTGTAGTGTGTGTATACAGTACACACGTTAGTGGGGAGTGGTAGTGTAGTGGTTTGCGTGCTGCGCTACGAACCCCCAAATTTGATTCCCGCTCACGGCCAACACCAGCAATGACCATCTGAACTGGTTCCGAGCCTTATCTAGGTCGACTCGGCCTCAAATGAGTTACCTGGTGTAGCGGTGTGTAAACATCGCCACTGGGGAGACAAAGGCGGCCGGGCGTGGTGCTGGCCACCCACCCCCCTCGTGTGTCGTTGCGGTCTTCACAGGTGCTGCTACTCGCTAACAGCACTTGCCCCGACTGTTTGTTCGGGGGATCTTTGTCTCTTTTCTCGAGGTGAAGATGAAACCTTGCAATGTCTTGCTAACGCCACCGCTGCTGGCAGAATGGCCTCCACTCTGGAGAGCCCCTCTAGAGGGTGTCTTGGCCTACTCTTCCAATGCCGGCCAGGCGTCTTGTTACGAGTTGGGAGTTGGCCCACACTTTATTCCATAACACGTGGGATGGACGGAGGTGGGCCGGGGGGGGGGATTTAAGAAATTCGAACCAATATTTAAGCTGTGCTAACCATTGCAACACGGAGCATATAATATATGTACGGTGATAATTATAAAATAGCACTTGCTGCGTCTGGCTTTCATTAACAACACAATGTGTGTAGGCCCGTCAGGTCACTGCATGCGTCATGAGTTTAAGAATCAACATCATTTGATGAACTGACATAATTGTTCCCACTCCTTCCAGAGACTCAGGGTTGCTCTGCTGTAAAACAAAAGGCGCATCTGTATCATCGTTACCGTGCGTGATTTGTACGTGGGCTGTGTGTGCACGTGTGTGGTCTTCAGTTATGGGTCGGCGATGGGTACTGTGACCCGGTAAACAACAACGCCTACTGCCACTACGACGGAGGGGATTGTTGCGTGTCCACATCCGCCTTCAAACAGGTGGCCAAGTCGCACGCCCACGCTGCACTCGCACACATGGTCAGGTCGCACTCTCTACACACAAAGCGCTTGACACAAATGACGACCCACAATGCCTTTCTGATCTCGTCAAGGAGCATCGACCATTACGCAAACCGCGGTCTTCCTCGCGGGAGCTTTTGGCAATTAGACATGCGCTTCTACGACCGTCTGGGACTCTCTTCCTCACGATCTTAGGAAGTGACTTTAGCAAAGCACTTTTAAATCTAGGTCCAAATACTCGTTTCTTTAAAACTGCATTTTGCGTTTAATTTGGCACCGTTTTCCTCACACTCGAAGAGTTAATCGATTGTACGTGTCTGTGTGGTGTTGGTGTGCCTTTTTGTGTGTGCGTGCAGGTGATCACCGTTCCAGCCAGTTGTGACCGCAAGAAGGAGTGTGCCTGCCGTGATCCCAGCGCCAAAGAGAATGCACAGAAGCGGTGGGCGACGCGCCCACCGCTTCCCCCATAGAGGGGACAACAGGGAGCTGCTGCTGCAGGTAAAAGCTTTTCTCTGCACTTCGCATCATCATCATCATCACTACACTCTCTCTCTATCACTGGGTACGACTATTGTTGTTGGATTCCCGTTGTACGGATTAGACTTCATACTCGATTTAGTCAAGCCCGTGGTGCGTGCTTGTGAATAAGCCGAGCGGCGTGTTGCTGTAGTACGGCGGGTTGGAGTGCGGCGCTGTGCTCCGAGCCTGGCAGCCCGAGTTCGACTCCAGGCCACGGCGAGCATTAGTTGTGAGTGACGTCAGAACCGCTCCTGCTTTCCCCACCAATCACCAAACACAACCCTCACTCGGCATCGTGGCCAAGTATGATCCTGGATCCCCCCGTGAGCCCATACGGCGTGGCGAGGCCGTCACCCATTGGTGCAGTGAGAGTGTGGCCGTAATTGATTTTATAAGTTGGCTATAACCGAGCCCCTATTCCAAAACAGAATTGTTTTCACAGCCACTCCTGGAATATAAAGCTGCGATTCACGCGTTGTGTTTATAGCGGCGTCCCGTTGTGTTTCCGAGTACCGTGAGCAATGCACGACTAGGCGACGTGTCCTCGGAGCATTGATTGGAAGTCCTTCATATGCACACGCGTGGATGTGGAGTGCGGGGGGAGCGGTGGCACAGTGGTTAGCGCACTGCGCTAGGTCGCCCGGGCACCCGAGTTCGATTACCGCTCGAGGTCGACACCGGTGACGATTATCTGAACCGGTTCCGGGCATCCCCTAGGCCGACTCGGCCTTCAATGAGCACCTGGTGCATTGTGTAAACATCGCCACCAGGCTGTGGTGCTGGCCACCCAAACCACCCCTGAAGTGCCGTGCCGGCCTTCATTGGCCACGACAGGGAAACTTTGTCTTGACTTTGTATTGTGTATCCAGTATATCCACATATACATCAATATATGTATACAATTAGATTGCAATCTCTACATTACAACCAACATTTGTTTTGACAGTATCATCATGCGATATACATCCGAGTTCAAATGAAGATCGTCCCATTCTGATTTAGTTGTGATGAACAGGAACTGCGAGCGCAGAACCCACGTGCACGTTGTTCAGCACAAGGCCACGTGGCTGGAGAGTCCTTGTGACTGTTGTAGCGCTACTCACGACTCCGCGGCAGGTTGCTGTTAGGGGCTCACGCCACGTTTATTAAGGGCTCACGCCGAACCAAAACCCCCCGAGATGATAACTCCCCAGGGGACAGGGGACTGGGATTATTCCCATCATCATTACATTCCTCGTAACAAGCGATGTTCGGGGGGGTGGTGGTGGTGGTATATTTGTGGGGGACATCAGCACTGTTGTGCTAGCTGGTGTGTGGCTTCCAAGTGGATGGTGGGTTGCCAACAACTTGTCCTGGCTTGTTCAGAATCGTCTGCTTTTGAGGTAGCTGTTGCTGAGAGAGATGTGTGACTCTTTGCGGGACGTTGAAAGCCTTAATTCTAGATTTGAAGCTTTCGTGACTGCAAGGATTCATATTCTTAGGTTTTTTCGGTAAAGTCACCATGTAGGTAAAACATTAAAATTAATAAAAGTTAAATAAAATAAAAATCACGACGTTCCCCCCTCTCCAACCATTATATAAACGGAGTGGTAGCTCCTGCAATCTCTCATTTACTTGATACGGCTGTCGTGGCTGTGACGGTTCCACCTGAAGACGGAGGCTTGTGTTGCCTCCGAAACGTCGTGATTTTTATTTTATTTTACTTTTTTTAATTTTAATGTTTTACCTACGTGACTTTACCGAAAAAACCTAAGAATAAGTTGAAAGCCTTGGCTTTTGTCAGTTCCATTAAAAATAACAATAATTGCACGCCGCTCTAGACTGCATTTTCACGTAGTGGTTGCCCAAGAATAAATTCTCGATTCGATGAACAAATCGCGAGTTGCTTCTTGTGCTCCTCCCCAGATGGTGACACTGACGTGGCGGCAGCGGCGTCCGCTGCTCATCGCAGGAGCTCACGGACAGAGTCCAGCGGCCGCCCTGGTCAATGCCGTGGTGTTCGCTTACCAGAGAAGCACTGCGCGCCAGCTGCTTTGAAGATCCTGTGATGTCATTCACAGCAGGCGCAAGCCACTGCGGGGCAAGAATCGTGGTCCGAATTTGTCGAATTTGAAAAACTACCCCACACCATTACACAGTTGTACCCCCCGACTGTGAAAACTTGGCAGGACCCTTCTCAAAAAAAGTTCATGACTCTTTGAGGCCTTTCCTGGGTGAACAAGCATTAAATTGCTCGTAATATATGTGGATGAGTGTAATGGCTCGGATGGATGTCGAAATTAATGGTTTAGAGGGCCGAATGTACCCCGTCTGTGGTGTTTCCCAAATGAAATGTTACCATTGCTACACAAAATGGCCCCCTCAAAGTTCTCCCTTTCCACCTCTAACCCCCCAACCCATCGATGCGGTTAGTCGATCGGTGGCGGGGTGAAGTGTGGTGGGCGTTTGCGACCACTTCAACAGCATACCTACGACGTGAGCTTTCTAAAGCTCCCTCTAGTTGAGGCATTCCTAGCGGCAGCGGTGTTAGTAAAGCGATCGACTGCAGGGCCGCACCTTTACCCAAGCGTGAAGGGCATGTTTAGGATCTTGCTAAAGCTCATGAAAGCCACTCCACTTGCATGGTTAGGCAGGATGTGGCAGCCATTTTATAACGAGATGATTTTGGTTATATTCTTCATTGTATTATTTTGTGGTTTTCTTGCTGACTGACTGTTTTGTTCGTGTTTCCCTCGGCAGGTGCAGAAATATTTGGTGCTATTTAATGTATTGCAATGTATTGCAATGTGCGTAAATGTTTACGTTTCAAATGTCTGCGGAGTGCTTCTCGGGCCTTTAAGTTTAGCAATGAGATGTTGTTTGAAAGCCCCGAGAGGCAATGTTTTCATTAATACATTGCGTAACATGCATTTTCTCAATTAATTCTGTCGGTTAAAGGGCAAAACATTATGGAAAATGTATTTAGATGATTTAAGCGCTTCCATTTTTGTAAGATGAGCTGCTGAATGAATGAAAATGAATTTTTTGCCAAAGTTGAAATTAAAACTTGAGCGAGCCAGCACACCTTGGCAGATGCAAACATCAACGACTCCTCTAAAGATGCAAACATCCCCCTGTGTGTCTGCACGCTATTAGAGATGGAATAAATGCCCGACCCCTTACATGTTTTCTTCTTGTTATAGTATTTAGGTCTATATTGTTTTGTTGCCATTGCCAAGTTGAAACACGGTACGTTGTGAAACCGTGCAGACCACACGCAAGCAGGGAAATGTTTGCGAAAAAAGCCTTTCGCGAAAACTGCCAAGTCTAAATCGGTGCTAGAAACCAGTTATCACAATTCCACGTGTTTTGTTTGCCGAGAAGAAGAAGAAAATGGACTAAGATGCGGGGGGAGGAGGGGAAAATCGTCGGAAATTGTACATATCAATGATGCCTTGTGGTGTCGGTGCGATGGGGCCATCTGTGTGTCAGTCTGTCTCTTGAGATGCACGTCCTAGCAACATTTCTCACTTCCTGAAGATTTGTGGCCAGATTTCAAGACTGTTTTTGCCAGTTATTATTATTTTAAATCTCTAACCCTCTCCTCATCCAAAGTGTCAAGTCCAGAGTCTTGGATATTTCGCAAACCCCCTCCCCCCGCCCCTTTTATCACTTGGCATAATACAATGTGAGCAAATGTCAAAGTCTGGTTCTGCTGTTATCCTTTGACATTTTAATAAAAACGGCATGCACTTCATTGGCGTTGTGTTACCTTTATAATGCACGATTGGTTGGATTTTCTAGGAACTTTAGCATTGACACTCAAGGAAACGACTGCCATTCACTGCAAAGCGGTGGTGGTATCGCCGCGGTCATCGCCCAGCAAAGGCCAGACTCCTCGCGAGGTGATCAAGGACATGTCACCAAGAGACGACAGCACGCGTCGAGTGGGTGTGTCTGCCACTACGAGTGTAGTGTTCTTGCAGGGAGACAGAGTCTTCGTAGAGGCAACACATGAACACACACACACGCACATGTGTACACACACATGTGTACACACACTCATCATGAGTACACACACTAATGTACACACACGTGTACATACACACACATGTGTACACACACACTCATAATGTGTACACACACTCATGTACACACCGACACATGTACACAGAACAACAACAACCGCCATTAAGTGGTGGTGACGTCACCACGACGCTTGTGCCAGGCCAAGTGCACCTTGAAGTGTCGAACGCCCGCTGGCAGGAGGTCACGGGGCAGACCCAGCAGGTGCCACGGGTCGACTGACCGAGATGACCGAGATGACTGAGGTGACTGGCTGATGCACCACCTGTACCCCCTACTGTATTAACTTGCTGTGGTTTAGCCACCCGGCGCTCCGCTCGTTGTTGTGAGCGTCGCTCCTCCGCCCTCCGTTGTTGTTGGAGGGCGACTGCCTCCAACTGCCCAGTAGCGTCCTTCACGAGCCTCCTCCACAGAAGCCGATCTTGACACCGCTGGTACCAGTCATCGGCAAGTCCACTCAGCTCCACGTCCTCCTGTACCACATCACTCCATCTCTTCTCTAGCCCGTGCCGCGCCCGCTTAGCCCCCTCGATCCGGCCGAACAAAAGCTGCTTAGGCATGCGGTGGCTGGGCATGCGGGCTACATGACCCAGCCAACGCAGCCTTGCCTGCCGGAGGAGCTCACCGATGGGACTTTGCCCAGATCTTTCAAGGATTTGTGAGCTCCTCACACAATCCAGCCTGGTTAAACCCAGGATGGATTGTAGGCAGGCCAGCCTAAATGTTTCCAACCAGCGAAGATGCTCCATTAGGGGGGTCCACGTTTCGCAGAGAAAAGGGAGGGAATGACTGTGGCCGAGAAGACCTGAAGCTTCGTGCGGAGTGACAGACCAGGTAGCTTCCACACAGCGTTACGCAACCGATGAAAAGATATTGCCGCTCGACTGATTCGGAGTGAGACCTCTGCTGTTAAACTGGAGCCGGTCATAAGCACACTGCCCAGGTATGGGAAACTCTCCACTCTCTCCACAACTGCCCCATCACCGATCGGGAGTTGTGGGGGTGGAGTGTCCGATGGCACAAAATACCCAGGCAGGTGCTTAGTTTTGGTGGGGCTGATGGTAAGGCCCCACCTCTTAGTGGCACGCTCCAGTCTCAGCAGCAGCGTCTCCAACTCCTCTTCTGAATGAGCAGCTATTACCAAATCATCGGCATACATAACGTGGTTGACCAATAAGGAGCCATCCCTTGATCGCATCCGGGCGTCGATCAGCCTCCCATTTTATCTGTACCAAACGGAAATTCCCCCAATACAGCTATTGAACGCTTCACGAACTACTCGGTCAAAATAGATGTTAAATAATGTGGGAGCCAGAAGACATCCCTGCCGCACCCCAAGGTGTACAGGGAAAGGCTCTGACTCCCGGCCACGTAGTTTTACCCGGGCCCGCTCACCATCATGAAGGTCCTTAATGATCGTGAGCAGAGGGTCAGGGACTCCGAAAGCACGAAGAACAAACCAGAGCCCAGGCCAACTGATGGTATCATAGGCCTTGACCAGGTCAATAAAGCAGAGATTTAGGTCTTGTTGAAATTCCCTACACCTCTGCTGTAGCAGACGGACAGAAAATATGGCATCTGTGCAGGACCGCCCTTTCCTGAAACCGCATTGGGGTTCCGCAAGCCTCTCCTCAGCGTGCCTAGCAAGGCGATGTTGAATAATCCTTGCCAGGACCTTTCCCGGCACACTGAGGAGTGAGATGCCCCTGTAATGTGTTACAGTCTGTGCGGTCCCCCTTCTTAAAGAGGGGGACCACCAGGGCATCCTTCCAATCTTGCGGAACCCGTCCAGTGGTCCAGACTGTTGTTATGATGTCATATAGGGCAGTCTGTACACAAACGCCACCCTCTCTCAGCATTTCGCTTGGGAGATCATCTCTGCCTGCTGCCTTTCCTGGTCTCAGACTCCGGATCGCCTTCAGTACTTCCTCAACAGATGGCACCTCAGCCAGCCACTCACAGGGGGTGACTTCTTCCAATATTTGACTACGATATAGACACTCACCCACACACACAGACACACACACAGACACACACACAGACACACACATACACACACACATACACACAGACACACACATACACACACACACAGACACACACACAGACACACACACAGACACAGACACACACACAGACACAGACACACACACAGACAGACACACACACACACAGTCACATACAGACACATACACACACGCACAGACAAAGGTCCCCCGTGTAGCCTCCGTAAGGCTGCTGGGGCAAGTGCTCTTGCCAGCGAGTAGCAGCAGCAGTGTCTATGTACTACACACACCACGCACAGACAAAGCTACCCCAGGTAGCCTCTAACAGGGCTGTAGGGGCAAGTGCTGTTAGTAGCAAGTAGCAGCACCTATGAAGGCCGGCACAGCACACGAGGGGGTGGGTGGCCAGCACCACGCCCGACCGCCTTGGTCTCTCCCCCAGTGCTAGCGATGTTTACTCCATACCGCCGCTACACCAGGTACTCATTTTGAGGCTGAGTCGACTTAGGGGAGGCCCGGGACCGGTTCAGATCATCGTCACCGGTGTTGGCCGTGAGCGGGAATCGAACCCGTGTCGCCGGGTTCGTAGCGCGACGTAGCGCTAACCGCTGCACCGCCGCTCCCCCCAGCTGTACACAGACACACGCACAGTCTGCACAGACTGCCGGGGGAGGAGAGGCAACTCACGTGGACAGCAGCAGCACGGGGCAGCAGCAGCAGCACGGGGCAGCAGCTGACGGGTTGGGTGGTGCTGGGGGTAGAGGCGCGGCCACCCGGCCCGTCACTAGAGCCTCTCTCTCGTTGGTACGGAGCACCACCAACATCAACATCCACGATGCCGCGAGAACCACCCTTCCTTAGCAGTGGTAACCACCCTTCCTTAGCAGTGGTAACCACCCTTCCTTAGCAGTGGTAACCACCCTTCCTTAGCAGTGGTAACCACCCTTCCTTAGCAGTGGTAACCAC